GTGCATATAATGCATATGATCTATAAATGATACAAAATCCAAAGTAATACATCAAATAAATTCACAGTTAATGCAATAATCTAAATACATCAAATATCCAGAAATAAGCGTGATCAAGCTCAGATATAATACATGATTATATTACGTAGCCAATATATGATTAAAATCATAAAACATCCATATTAATTGCTAAGTTATTTTTAAGCAATTAATTCCTCCTTTCCATCCAATAATTGATGAAGAAAAAAATAAATTAATACATCAATTAAATCCAGAAATCAGTATACTTAACATTAGAAAAATACATGACTAAATTATACTGATAATCCATGATTTAAATCATTTAATATCCATTTAAATTGCTAGATTAATAATACGCAATTTCATCCTTTGTTAACAATATACAGATTTATTTAAAACATTATATTGTTCATATCCATGACAAATTAACATAAATTATGTATTTGGGAAAATAATTATGCCAATTTAAATCATTCCAACCATCCATTATAGCCTAGGTATGTTTTAAACCCTTTTATAAACAAAAAAACCAACGTACAGTGAAGTCCCAGGAGTAGAGCTGCCTGTACTTTGAGTAGAGCCTGCTCTACTCCAAGTAGAGCCATCGCTACTTCTACTATCCTCTGTCTTCTTCGTCTTCGACGACTTTCGGACATTTCGATCGCCCCGTTAAGGTCCCTAAAGGTCCTAACAAAGTCCCATACAGTTCCAAAATAATTATTTGAATATATTATGCATCTTAAACACCAATTAAAACAAGTTTTCATGTAATAAAATTCAAGATTTAGTAAGAACACAAAATATTACATAACCCAGTTTTAATTCAATTTAAGCATGCATATCTGGTTAATTTATTATCTGATTAACCCCTGGAATTAACTAGGCATGTATAGAACACAGACCTAAGGGAAAGAGTAAGAGTAAAAACTTGCCTCTAGGCTTCGGATTGAAACCTTAACCTCTACTTCTTAGCTTTTTTGATAATCCTTGGCCGCCGTCGAAGCCTCCTACTGCTCTGGTTCCAACCCCTGAACAGCCCTCAATCTACCTCCTTTGTCTCCTACTGCTCTGGTTCCAACCCCCGAACAGCCCTCAATCTACCTCCTTTGTCTGGCCTTAAGTCCTTGGCCGAAACCCTAGTTTATTCTCTCTCAAAAACTCTCTGTTTTCTCTCAAACCGACTCTGCCTCCAATAATAAGTGAATAGGGTTCTAAACCCTTAGCAGACATATATCCTATGTATATATAAGTTAAACTCCAACTCTAATCCTATATAAAAACTAATTACTCTAATAAAAGGAAAATAAAAGAAAAAGTGAAAAGAATAAAATAATACCTATATACATAAGGCATAGTTTTATGTACGTGATATATCATATATAACTATAATACAATTTATAATTATATAAAATATATTAGTCATCCTAATATTATTATTATTACTATTAAGAATAATAATATTACTCCATCCTTATATACATATATACTCAAATATATGTATGTATATACCACCATCCATATATGAGGAGATATTTGTACCCATTAAGTCTCCTATCCAAGTAGTCCATGTGACCTTTTGGGTTGGTCTATTACTACTATCCAAATTCATCTCCTTTTAAAATAAAATAAAATAAAATAAAACATTTAATCTAACAAATAATTACACTTAAAACAAACACAACATTTAAGTAATCAAACCAATTAAACAAATACATCATAAATAATTTCTTTCAAACAAAACATGTACGCATACACAATTTAATTTAAACAATTAATTCAATTAACCATATAACAACTAGCCAAATAAGCAAATAATTAATTAATCAAATAAAAATACAATTAAAATAATTAAATAAATACCGAGACTATCATTTTAAAATTAGGGATATTACAATTGGAACCATACTATTTTGGGGGAGTTTCTGGGTCTTCTCTTCATGGGAAGAGTCAAAGTGAAGAGAATAAAGATGGTGGAAAGGAATTATTCGAATTGGAGGAAAATGGGGGATGTTTTGAAGTTTTTGAGAAAACATGCTCGAAAGCCACGAGCCCGTGACGCCCACTAAGTCAAGGCCGTGGCGCTGACCTGGAATTGTGCACAGATCCGTGTTTTTCCAGTAATGACCCCCCTTCGTTTCCAGAGTTACCCACGTTTATACCATTAACTGAAGGATCAACCCAGAACGTTCTTCCTCTGGTAACCTCGAATCCTATTCTTGATGAACCTAATGAATTTCCTGTCCATGTAAAAGATCTAACCAATAAATATCCACAGAGGTCAAATAGGGGAGTATCGAAGAAACAATATGAACCCGATCCCAAAGCCAAGACTAATTACCCAATTAGTAATTATATTTCCCTCTATAGGTTGTCAGAATCGTATGCATTTTCTGTTAATTAATTGTCCACTATGTCTATTCCTAGTAGTGTGCAAGATGCATTGGCAGATCCAAAGTGGACCAGGGCAATGAATGAAGAAATGGAGGCTCTTCAGAGGAATAACACTTGGGAACTTTGTCCATTACCCAAAGGGAAGAAGACGATTAGGTGTAGATGGGTGTTCACAATGAAACTCAAAGCTGATAGCAGTATTGATAGGTACAAAGCGAGGTTAGTTGCGAAGGGATATACACAGAAGTACTGAGTGGATTATCAAGAGACTTTTGCTCCGGTTGCCAAAACTAATACCATTTGCATTCTTATATCCATAGCAGCAAATTGAGATTTGCCTTTGTAACAATTCAATGTCAAGAATGCTTTCCTCAATGAAGATTTAGAGGAAGAAGTCTACATGGAGTTACCCTTGGAGCTAAATGTAAATCCTCGTGTAGAACTGAAGTATGTAAATTGAAGGAGGCGTTGTATGGTCTGAAGCAGTCACCCCGAGCTTGGTTCAGAAGGTTCTCCTCCACAATGAAAGAATTTGGCCATAAGCAAAGTAATTTGGATCACACTTTATTTATAAAACACAAAGCAGGGAAGGTAACGACATTGATTGTATTTGTAAATGATATGGTCTTGACATGAGATGATCTAGGTGAGAGAAAAACATTATAAGAGTACCTGGTAGCAAAATTTGAAATAAAAGATCTCAGTCAACTCAAGTACTTCTTAGGAATTGAGGTCTCAAGGTCGAAGGCTGGAATTTCCCTATCACAATGGAAATATGTGCTAGATCTTTTAACCGAGACTGGAATATTAGCCTGCAAACTTGTAGAGATACCTATAGAGATGAATCACAAGCTTGGAGAGTTTGTGGATCAGGTCCCAACTGACAAGGGATGTTATCAATGGTTAGTTGGGAGACTAATATATTTGTCACACACAAAGCCGGACATAACCTATGCAGTAAGTATGCCAGTTCATGCATGCACCGAGTGAAGAACATATGATTGCAGTGTATCGGATCTTGAAGTATTTGAAGAGTGCACAGGAAGAGGATTGTTGTTCTTTAAAAATGGGGTCCATGGAATTGAAGGATATACAGATTCTGATTGGGCAGGGAGTCAGATTGATAGGAGGTCCACATTGGGTTACTTTACTTTTGTGGAAGGTAATCTTGTCACTTGGAGAAGCAAAAAGCAGAAGGTGGTTTCTAGATCAAGTGCGGAAGTTGAATTCCGAGGTATGGCTTATGGTGTGTGGGAATTGCTATTTGTCAAACATGTATTACAAGATTTGGGAATTGATTATGAGAAACCGATGAGTCTATATTGTGATAATAAGGCAGTTATTGAAATTGCACATAATCTGGTTCAACATGATTGTATAAAATATGTTGAAGTTGATCATCATTTTATTAAAGAAAATCTTGATTGAAAAGTTATACAATTTTTGTTTGTTCGGTCCGAAGATCAGTCGGCTGACGTACTCAAGAAGGCAGTTTCAAGAAGGACATTCCATGGTGAAATTAGCAAGTTGGGAATGATAGATATCTATACTTCAACTTGAGGGGGAGTGTCAGCATCTGTTGTATTTCTTATTGTATTTATGTAATTTCTCCTAAATTGATATGGTAATTAGTGGTTACCATATAGGATAGTTGACCGTATAATATATTATTACTATATTGTGTAATATATTCTAACCATGTATAGGTTTATCATATAGGGTTTAAATTTCTTACTCTCCACACATCTCGTCACCTCTATAAACCCCTGTGTATCTTATATCTCATATATCAATACAATATACAGTTTCTCTCTTTTATATTTTTAACAACAACACTTAAGGCCTTACTAATTAGGATGTGCTCTATTTTGATTGGTGATATAGTCCAATAACAAATTGACACATTTTATTTAATTATAAAATTAAAAAATATATATTTAAAGGGCAACACTTGGATTTTCATCCACGATTATGTACTCAATCCTTGCGAATTTTATAATTAAAGAATATGTATTGATATGTCATTAGGGATGCGCTCAAGCACAGTACTATTCATCATTGGTGTTGATATCCAAACTTCATTTGATTATATCTTTCTCATTTTAAATTCAAATATGGCCATTCTTGTACTCAAATTGAAAGATTTTGAATTAAGCATTATAATTGTTATGAAATGATAATTTTATCTATTATATGTTCTCGAATTTGAGTAAGAAGGGGAATTAAATCCCTATCCGCTAATGATCTGGATCCATTAAATTTGGATGTTACCGGCATGGATCACTGTTAGAGTGGAGTACATATTCACTTTAATGAGGACAAAAATATTGTACTTGGGTGTATGCTGTCTTACTCATCGAAGGAAGAAAACAAAATAAAAAATACTACAATTTCTATTTTCTACTTAATAAAATATTATATTTGGCTATTGTGATGAGCCAAGTGATGTGGGGTTGTGTTACTAGAAGACTGACTTTGAACACGACAGGTGGAAGAAAATTGGGAAGAAGGGAAGCATTTTTCTTTCCCACCCAATTAAGACGGCAACGACTTCAAAGGTCCCCATTTGATTTATGTGGTGAAAAACGCCTTTTGAACAAGTCTTCCCCACAAATATATGTACCCATTACACCTACTTCTCTCACCCTGCACACATTCACTACTACTTGCTTCTCCTTCTGCTCTCATCATCATGCTCGATCGAAACAAGAACAATCTTTGTCACCAATCAAATGGCACTTGTGTTAGCCCAAAATCAACAGATTTCGATTTCTGGGGCGATCAAAGAAGCGACAAATATGACCATTATGGTGATATTGATCTCGAAACTGATGATGATCGAATGGAGTTCCGAACTCAGACACTACCATTGTGGAAGAAGACTCGAAACAACAACATTAGATACGAAGCTTCTCCATTGTTGCCATACAATCACCACTACAGCTTTCCATCTCCCAATTCGCGGTTACAGGCGATCATAGATGGGAGAAGGGAGCTTATGGAGATGATTCAGGATTTGCCGGAGTCTTCCTACGAGCTCTCCCTTAAAGATATGGTTAAGGAGGATGACCAAATCTCCGAAGGAGTTCGGAAAGAAGACGGAACAACTGCTGAAAGGGAACAGAATTTCGAGACCAAAGTTAAAATCAAGCAGAAGAACAAGAGAAACACTGGTAGGGGTCCAATAGCGCGATGTGAAAGCATGGACAGTGGAGTTTTCCTTCTGAAGATGTTCTTCCCAACTTCTCTAGGGTTGAAGAAGAAACCAAAAACCAAGATTTCTCGGACCCCATCATTTGAGGGATCCGAGAAGATGGTCCGTAAGGATTGGTGGAAGATGAGGTTCTTAGTTGCAGGGGAGAGTAGGAATAGTGTGAGTAGAGTTAATGAAAGCACTAGCAGCAGCAGCAGTCGGAGCAGTAGCAGCAAAAGCAACAGCAGCACCGGCAGCAGCAGCCGGAGCAGTAGCAGCAAAAGCAACAGCAGCACCGGCAGCAGCAGTCGGGGCAGCAGCAGCGAAAGCAACAGCAGCAGTAGTAGGTATGTACTCATTAATTTCAGTTGGAAGAATTAATATTTGGGCACACAATTAGGGGACATTTGGTCATGCCTTGAAATTAAGAGCATATATTCCATATTTTCAAAAGTATATGAATATGGAGTCATCACATATTCAAACACAAAATTGAATCATAGTGAAACATCTTTTAAGCCATTATTAAAACGATGTTGGTAGGAGTGGTCCTAAAAGTTATCTTGGACATGTACTCATAATACATAATATGGAACAGAACAACCAAATTGGTATAAGAAATCGAGTCTGTACTCTGGACTCATCTCAAATGCTATATAAAACCTAATAGACTAATAATTAATACTCTCCAGTCTGCAGTAAAATCAAGAAGCTGCAATTCAAAATTTCAAATAAAAATCAAGATTTTTTTTTTTTTTTTTTTTTTCTCTCTCTCCCCGAAAGTTCAAGCAAAAGCGCACACATTCAGGATTAGCTGCAAGCTCATACATAATGCACAAACCTTATTAGCTATCTTCATGTGTTGTGCAGGATCACGGAGAGCAATTTCACTTCCCGTCGCTGGTCCTTCAACACAAAGAAATGCAAAGCAACAGGACAGCCAGGGTGCTTCTTCTGAAGGAGAAAACCATATAAAGGATCCATGCAAGCATAACACCAAATGGATTTTTAAAATTGCAATAACCAGAGTTTTTCGGATCTTAATTCTGCAGAATAGATTAACAATGTAACATAATGTATAATTTTATTTTGCCTTCCTGTCATTCCTAACATTTCTCGAGATTAGGATATTCCATGTTATAAATTAATTTCATATCTTACCTGTCAGAAAAAAATAATAATTTCATATCTTAATGCTGATATTATTTCATATTTTCATGGTATGTTCTGTTTCCTAGTTTAAAATTATGTTTCTTGAGTGCAGTTGGAAACATAGAGAAGCTATATATTATTGTGATTGTTGCTAACTGGAAAATGAAATACCAAAGAATGTGAAATCCAAAACCATTCCCAATTGGGGTGGGAAGGACAAGGTACCCAATCAGCCTGCTTCATGACATCCCGAATAATGTGAAACTTTAACACAACATTTTGTTTGTTGGTTCAGTGAGGAGAAAGGGAGGGTAAAGAAGAGAGAGTTCATTAATTTGATTATAGAGAATATGTGGAGAGCAAAAATGGGAACACAATTATAACCAATGATACTCTCACTTCTAAACTGACATTTTTTTTTTTGGTCAATATCATGGCGAACCCAAAATATATTTTGGGGACTAATATATTCTGGGGTGGACTACTATTACTATTTTATTTTATTTACTTATTTATTTATTTTTTTGGGGTCCCAAGCCCCCCTTAGCTCCCCCTCCCCCAGCGGGCGGGATCCGCTCCTATTCTATTTGGCCTTTTCCTCCCCCATTAAGGCTTTGGTTATTTTGTGAATTTCATAAAAAAATAAATAAATAAATAAAATAAAATAAAATAAAAAAGAGAAAGGAAAACGATAAACTTCTCAAAGAAAAATGTAGGGGAATTTATGGTAAAATTAAAATTTTCTTACTTCCCTTCATATTCTCTTCCCCTTTCTATTTTTACTTGGTAAACGAGGAACAAAAATGATTTCCTTTATATTGGTTTTGTCATCCCACAGTAAATCCACGAACCAAACAGTGAACAATGGGAGAAATTAAAAGAACAAAAGTGAAACAAATGAGTACAAGTATAAAACTATGTACAGAGTGGGTCAATGGATCGGCCAAGCAATTAAGCCCAACAAAACGGTCGCTAATCCAAGAAAACAAGAACCTAGCAAAACTTGGCCGAAAGAAGCTTGGGCCTAATCCAAGCAAACCAATTGCACTTTCTAAAACACTCTTTGGTAATAGCTAGCAGAGTGACCGCTACTGACTGATGTGTCAAAATCCAAAAATGTTGTAACCGAGCAGGCCGCTCGGCCTATTTGTCTAAAAAAAGAAAAAAGAAAAAAAAGAAAAGAAAAGGACCGAGGAGGTCACCCACTTTGACCTACAAATTCAGGACCTCAAGGTCAAAATAGAAGAAGTGATACAGGCAATGAAGGGAACATGTCCTATCACCATGGATAACCTTTGTACAAAAGACGAACTTGCCATTTAGTCCCGCCATCATGAAATTCCCTCTATCAAGCAAGTTCAAGATGCCCATGACGCGGTATCACGGCCAATCTATTTAGAAGTGTAAAATGTGGACAATTGGAAAGCACCAATTTTGAATTTATAAAACAGTTACACAATTATTTTTGGAGTATATCGAGTAGAAATCAAACACAAGGACTATAAATTTGAATTGATTTTAATATTAATGAGCGTGAGATTTAAAAGATGATGATTAGTTTGTTTAAACTAATTATGTAATTAAGTTAATTAGAAATGCAAATAATATTGTATGCAAGCTAAATTGGATTAAAGTAAGAGTGAGAGGAACTTAGGGAATCGATTTCACCACTAAGCCAACGTAATTACACCAAATGCCTTCAACTAATGGGAAAACAAGCTGTGTAATGAGGATATGGCTACAAGCATACATTAATAAGCAAGCAAATACTACAATTGCAATGAATAAGTATGAACTATCAAACTCAAACATGAATTGTCTACCTAATTACAATTAAGACTGAGAGGGACTTAGGGTATAGATTTCACCACTAAGCCAACGTAATTGCACCAAATGCCTTCAACTAATGGGGAAAACAAGTTGTATAATGAGGATGTGGCTACAATCACACATTAATAAGCAAGCAAATACTACAATTGCAATGAATAAGTATGAACTATCAAACTCAAACATGAATTGTCTACCTAATTACAATTACTCTAATGGTGTAGCACAATCCATCAAGACTAAGCATAATTCATCAAATCAAGGACAATTATATCCAATGTAAATAATGTGATAAGTATTTAAATGTTACACATTTCAGCACCTAAGTTAGGGTATTTCAGTCCTTACATCTATCTTACTTTCATGTTTTAGTCATAATTTATATTTATGTGTATTTTAGGGCAATAAAGCTAAAATAGACTTACAGCGGTCCATTATGACCATTTTGGAGTCAAGCTAGAGCATCAGGACAAGATTTAGAAGGAAGCAGAAAAATGTAGCAGCATCGCGTCCGGACGCCAAGCTTCTGGCAGCAATTTTAGTTACCGGTTTGACCTGTTTTTATGACTACAGGTTTTAACCTTTTGGGCTGATTTTTGTAACCTATAGGCTTTATTAGGTTTTGTATTAAAGGGAAAATAAGTCCATTATTTTTAGGGTTAGTTTTCATTATTTTAAGAGTTAGTTTTTATTTTTATTTTTATTAAGTTTTTATTTTCTGTAATCGATATTCTCTCTTGAAAACGCGAAAGAGGAGAAATAGAAGAACGGGTTAGGGTTTGGAAGAAAAAGGTCAGAGATGATGAATCCAAGGATGGAGATTATTTTGTCTTCAACTCCATCAACCATGAGTGGCTGATTCTTCTACTTAGGTTGGATAAACCCTAAGCATGTAACCTAACTTCTCTCTCTTTTACTATTTTGGGGATGTAAATTGTGTAATTTTTGTATAAACTTTAAATGTTATTGAATAAATTCTTCCAATTGGTTATCAATGTTAAATTCATGTTGTCTTATATGTTTTTGCTTGTTAATCAACCTTTACACTTGATTTCTCTGTGAATTGAATCTTGTGATGTCTATGCATGGTGATAATTAGTTGTAGTTGTGCTTCAATTTGATGGAAATTGCTTTTACTTGATGGATGGTACTACACAATTAAGTTAATTCATTGTCTGATTAATTATTTAAGTTCATGTTTAATTAGTTTAATATAAGTTTTATTGGAATTTAATTATTAGGTAAGTAGACTATCCATACTTGTGTTTGAATTCCATGCTCTTTGTCACAATTGCATTACCTTCTTGATTGATGTATGTTAAAATCGTCACTTGAATTAATGAGTCATGCTTTGGATTAATGAATTATACTACACCTAGTTTAATTATCATTAAGTAGGTAATTCAAGCTTGAAATTGATGATTCATACTTTTCTTTGCAAATGTTAGCTTTATTAGAATTACATTTAATTATTTCCCCAATTAGTGAAAGTAGAATGTGCTTAGTGGTGAATCCTACACCCTAAGTCTCTTTCTAATCTTTGAAACTCCATTATTTTATTGCAGTCACTTAAGTTAAATTAGTTTTAATCACAAAACAAAACCCTTTTCAGCAATCACTTAAGCACTAAAGTAGAATTCAATTCTAAAAACCTATAATTGTTTAGATCTCTTGGGACGATCCCTACTCACTTCATACTCCATATTATAAGTGTTTAGTGGTTTATAAATTATAAAATATGATGCCCACTTGACATTATTTCTAAACCTAAAGTGTTGTGCATTATTTTGTGCACATGCTCGGTCGCATCATAGTTTTGGCGCCATTTCTGGGATCTAACGGTTTAAAGAATTGAATTAGACATTAGTTCTTTGTTAATTATTTACTTTAAAGTCATTTTACTTTTTATTTTCTCACTTGATAATTGTCAATTAGGTACTTGAAGCAAAGTGGAGCAAACGCAGGACCTTGAAGCAATAAATTTTTTTTTTTTTGAAGTGCTTAAGGACCATTTGTGAGTTTTTCTTTGAATTCTTGAATTTAATTTTCTATTATCTTGCATGCTTTGGATAACCCAAGCTGAGGCTTAAATTGAATTGTTTTAGTTTTAAGTCTAAGCATATGTTCTTGTAGAAGGCATCGGCCCGTGTGGAGGCCTTTATTTGTTTGTGCATTGATATTATTATGGAGTTTAGGAACATCGTATGTGGAGGTTGAAAATTGACGTGTTAGTGTGTTGACTGATTCTAGTGCATGCATGGTCGTAAATCACTTAATCATCCTCTTGTTCCAGTAAATCAAAATCTTCAAGTTTTCCTTCAGCGTTTAAGAGATAGTACTAGGGATTGTCATCCTAATTTTCCAAATTTTGATCATCCATCACCTTTAATGAAAGACCTAATAGATGCAATTGCAGATCCCATTAAAGATCTTGGTTATGTGGATCATAATGGTGTGCACCACCCACCACAAGTTCATATTTTGGATCCTCAAGGTGTGCATCCACCCTTGGGAATGCCACGACCAATCAATCCTGTTGTGCAACAACCTTAGCTAAGGATGCTAAGGCTAAATGTTGTTCCCCCAAATGGTGAGCAACAACATCAATATGTTTAAATGGCATACCCTCAACAAGGTCAAATGACATACCCTCATCAAGGTCAAATGGCATACCCTCATCAAGGTCAAATGGCATATCCTCCTCTCAATCCTCCAATGGTCCTTAGGGATCATTACACTCCAAATCAATATAATGTACATTATGAGATTAAGGCTTCCATCATTAACATGTGCCCCATTTTCTATGGTTAAGCAATGAAGAGCCTTTTAAACATTTAGATGAGTTCTTGGAAGTTTGTTCCACCGTGAAAATCACGGATGTGCCAGAAGAAGTCCTTAAAATGAAGCTTTTCCTTTTCACTCTTTGGGACAAAGCTAAATATTGGTTTAAGAAAATTGGGGGCAAATTCAATCACCTCTTGGGCACAATTGCAACAAGAGTTCCTAAAGAAGTATTACCCCGCGAGTTGAACCGATTCTATGAGAAATTCCATTCATGAATTTGCATAAGAAGAAGGAGAAACCCTTCATGAAGCTTGGGAACGTTTGAATGACTTGCTGCAGAAGTGTCCATATCATGACATTTCTAAGTGGCAATTAGTTCAATGTTTCTTTTCAAGTTTATCCGATGCCAACAGGGGCATTGTTGATGCTTCATGTGGAGGTAGTTACATAGAAAGAAATG